TATGTGTGTGTGTGTTTTAAGATGTTAAGACCCAAATCTTTAAACAGCAGATAGATAGATGCAATATTATAAGGTAGCAATAAATTAACTCTGACTTTCATTTCTTTAAGTATTTAGTGCATGCACAAAATGCTGAAGCATAAATTTAAAATACAAAAATGTTCTGCATGTCTGGTATTTCTTCCTATTTTTTACTTCTAATTACTTATTTCATGACACTAAGAAAGTCCAATGAGAAAGAGTATCTATTCTTTCAGATCAAACAAATGGAGAAGAAAAAAGTCCAATTATATTCCAGAGAACATTTGCTGTGTAATGCATTTTTTAAGTGCTGGGAATCAAACCAGGGCCTTGCCCATGCTAGGCTGCACCCTACCACTAAGTTACAACCACAGCATATAATGCATTTTTTAAAAATCAGCAAATGCCCCCAAAGTTTGGTAATATGTCACTAATATAAATTAAGAACTTGAATTTTTTCTTAGAAGGTATCTTTAGCCAATGTAAAATATCCACAATGCTAAAACTACTAGCCTTGAAATTAATTAAATTAGTGTGATAGGCCATTAAATTAATTCCCCCAGAGACAGCTGACCCACACTTTGAAACTTTCCCAGGTATTCTAGTTGTACTGATAATTCTTATGTCTAAATATTTACTGCAAAAAATGTTGAAGTGTATAATAGCATGCCTGACAGACAATGTAGAAAGGTCAAGTATGCTCATGGGAATCAGAGATAAATGGATCTTGGCATGTGAATGCTGCCAAGTATCCCAGTTGGCTCATCCCTTTGTGTGAGCTGCATTCTCTTCTATCAGGTGCCACCTTCCACATGTCACCAGACACAACCACCTTATCTCTGGCTCTAGAGAACATGTGGAACCCAATGTCTGGGTTCTCAATAGTCAGGAATCCATCCACAAACTGGTTGTTTTAGGGGCTCCATGGAAGCATGCCTTTAAGTGCTACCCAAAACACGTGACTGGAAGGAGCACTCCTTAGTAGCAGGGAGTGCTGTTTCTGGGCACACAAAACCACAGACATTAAACACAGTCCCTAGGTACTGATGGTTTGTTTGGCAAGGCTGTAACACAAAGAGCAATTAAGCACAGGAGCTCTCCGGAGGCAACACAGGATCTCTTAGGAAAGGGACATCATAGAAACTTTGAAAACATTATGCTAACTGAAAGAAATCAGTCACAGAAAAGCACATATTGAAAAAGTCCATATATTAAAAATGTCGAGAATAGGCACATCTATAAATATAGAAAATAGATTAGTGGTTGCCTAGGGCTGAGGTGAGGTGAGGAGACATTTGGAAATGACAACACTGGGAGTCACTGTTAAAGGTAAGGGGTTTTCTTCTCAGGGTGATGAAAGTGTTCTGAAATTGGTTTTTGTGATGGTTGCAGAACTCTGTGAATATACTAAAAGCCACTGAATTTTACACATTCAATGGGTAAACTGTATGATATATGAATTTTACCTAAAATTGTTTTTAAATGAAAAATGATATTATAGAAAGGAACTGTTCAACTTTAAAATGCAGACTGATCATCGCTAATCCGAAAATCTGAATTCCAAAACTTTTTGAGCACCAACATGATAGCATATGATGGCAAAAGTGTAAAATTCTACACCATGAAGCTGTTTCACATACAAAATTCTTAAAAATATTGGATAAAATTACCCTGAGGCTATGTATATAGGGATATACAAAACATAAATAAGTTTTATATTTAGACTGGGGGCTTATCCCCTAGATAGCCTACTACATATACGCAAATACTCCAAAGTCCAAAATCTTAAAACTTCTAGTTCAAAGCACTTTAGATAAGGGATAACAACCTTTAACAGAACTTTTGTCTTAAAGTGATGAAACTGAAAATGGTAAGTTGTAACAAAGAAAATAATTTAAAACTAATTTATATTTATAAATAAATCAAAGATCTCTACTATAGGAAATAAGATGACTAAAACAGGAATTTTAAAGTAATTAAATATCAGGGTGATACATTTAAAAGTAGAGACTAAATTTTGAAATAAATTTTAAATCTGCTCTTCTATTTTTACATTGTTTCTCAATCAATATTAATTTGCAAGAAGTTTTTAAACTTTATTTCCTACCCTCATGCTGGTAACTTGATGGCACACACTCTGAATGTTGTGGCAAAGTGGAACAGCTCGGTGCTATAGCCAAGTATTACAGTTCCGAGGCACCGGCACAGCCAAGCGCCATAGCTCAGTGTCACAGCTACCGAAATTTGAAGACTCGAGAATCCGATGGTCACTCGAAGACGTGGAAAAAAGCAGCAGCTGGCTCGACTGAGTCTGTTCACACTCTGATATCTGAGTGCCTGACTAGAACCGGAAGCCTCCTTATATAGGAGTCTAGGGTTACGTGAGCACGCTCACTGAAAGGCGAGGGAGGGCGGAGTTATAGAACGTTCCTGAAAGGCATAGTGGGCGAGCATGCTCACAAAGGCAGAGGAGCGGAGCTAACAGAACATTCCTGAGAGGGGCAGAGCTAACAGAACATTCCTGAGAGATCTCCTTAAAAAAACGTTTTGGTACCTTGGGCAGAAGCGCTACCCAGCAACACAAATTTACATTTCTGGAACAAAACATTCTGTGGAAAAAAACATGGAGGCAAGGTAAGAGCCTGTCTTATTGTATACTATTGCTCTATCATGATGACCTGTGAAAGAATATGCTGCTACACAGTGGAATTTGGAGGAAATAAGAACGAAATAGGGCCAGGGATTTAGCTCAGTGGTTCTGGCGCCTGCCGCGCAAGCGCAAGGTTCCGAGTTCGATCGCCGGTACCAAAAAAAAAAAAGAAAGAAAGAAACTGAAGTACATCATACAGGAACTTAAAAAATAAAACCTTATTTCACAAAACATGTCTGATTTCACTTGTGAAAACTTTTCAGCCCCCTAGCCACTCCTGAAAAACACTAGAAGGACCACCCAGAGGTCTTTTTTTTGCCCCTGCCAAGCTGGGACTGAGACTCCCAGGCACTGTATGCTGGGATTCCCTGGCCTTTGATTTCTCAGTTTGTAAAGCAGATTTCCAGCCATTTTCTTTCCATTGAACAAAATTCTTAAAAATATTATATAAAATTATAATATTTTGTAAAAATTAATAAATGTAATGTATAGATTTAACAATTTTAAAATTATATTACAATTTAATAAGAGTGGGAAAAGGCACAGGGCAATCGCTATTTACACAGTGTATCACAATTTTTTGTTGTTGTTCGAGGGATCGAACTCCGGACCTTGGGCTTGTGAGACAAGCTGCAGAACCACTGAGCTAAATCCCTGGCCCGGTGTGTCACAATTTTAACAGCACAGGCATCCTTCAGGTGGATTCCCATGCAGCACAGATCACACACACACACACACACACACACACACACACACACGCCTGATATTAATAGTAACTAAGTAACAATTATGACTTCTGAGGTTATGTACAGATAGTAAAAAAATCTAGTTATTCATGGGCCTGAATCATATAAAGAAGTTGGAAAGGTTTGTATCCCCTAATCTAATCAGCAGCATCTGTTATACAGCTGCATCCTTGTTGGGAGCAATGCTACATAATTTTAGGGAAAAA